GGGCGAAAGGGGGGGCGGATCGGGAAAGGGGGGGGGTACGAACTTTGCTGCATGCGGCTGGTTTCGGCCTCACCGAGGGGCCCGTTCCTCGATACATAGCCGCCTCCGGCGCCGGGAGGCGCCGGGAAAATCAGCTCCATGAGCTGATTCTCAAGCCCCCCCTTTGCTATCCCCCCCTTTCGCCCGACCCGAGCCTTCCTACTTCAATGATCGAGTGGCTTCACCTTTTTCCGTCCTCTTTGGGGGACGGGCGGACACCCAATCTACGGTCAACGCCCTCTTACTTCATGTTTCTACTTATTTCTTCCGACCGATGGGTAACCCGGGCTATCGGGCCCGCCCGCACCCCCCCCCTCCGCCCCCCGGATAGGTTGGCCCCCCCCCGGATGACCTGACCTCGTCGGTTGCGCGGGTCCGAAGAGGCGCACGGGAATTATTCGTGCGCGCGGGCAGACGTGGGGTTGCCCGGCGCGAAACGGTTTGGTGATCCGCCGTGGTCTGAAGGCGAGCGACCGGGGGAAGTGAGAAGGAGAAGGCCTTCTCAGGAGGCGGCGGGACTTCTCGGAAGCCCTCGCGCCTTCTGAGAAGTTGTTCTGTGTCTTCGGGGAAAGCTCAGCAAACTTCTCCGAAGGCTGGGGAACTTCCGAGCCTTCCGAGCAGGCCCGCGCCCCTTCTCACTCCCCCCCCCCTGGGCGCGCCGCTGTTTGGTTTATCGACCGTCCCCCCCCCCACCCCACCCCTTACACCAACGCTCACCAAACCAGCTTGGTTATCGACGGAAAACAAAAAACGGCCTCCGGCTTTTGATGCCTGCGTCGACGACGACCAGCCCTTAGTGGGTCCTGGAAACGACAGGGCCGTTTTTTTACCGATTCCGGTTTGTCGTTTTTGTTGCCGGTTCCGACGCCGTTTTTTTTACCGGTTCCGTCGCCGTTTTTTGACCGGTTCCGGCTCCGGTTCCAATCCAGGAGCAGTTTTTTTGCCGTTTCCGGTCGCCGTTTTTTTTGCCGTTTCCATTTTCAAGGGACATTTTTGGGGAAACGGTGAAAAAACGGCCCTGCCGTTTCCGGGGCCCACAAAGGACCAGCCTGTGTGGGAGACGGTTAATGGAGTGGAGGCACGTTTGCAAAAAGAAAGATCGAGATGCTTAAACATGTAGCAAACATGTTCTGAACATGTAAAAACCATGTTCGACACATGCTGGTACAGTTTTTGAAAATTCAAGCCTTACTTCCAATTCAAGTTCAAGAGTAGAGCTGCTCACTTGTCCATTGTCATGGCGTCCATAAGGCCAGCCCCCCTAGGCATTGTCTCAGAGGCGACGCTCGCCGTGGGCATCGCCGAAATACAAAAAAAAATGCGGTCTCCTGGCACTGCCCCAGACGACGACAACGACAACGACGGCGACGGCGACGGCGACGGCGACGGCGACGGCGACGGCGACGAGGACGACGGCGACGACAGCGACGGCGACGACCAGAGTGACGACGACGACGGCGACGGCGACGACGAGAACGACGACAGCGACGACGACGACGACGTCGGCGACGGCGGCCAGCTCCCAATCGGCACTACCCCAGCCCTGGGCCCGAGTGTGTCGCCACCGATCGAGCATGTAACGGGCCTGGGGCGAAAGCCCCCCCCTCCTCCCCCTCCTCTTCCTCCTCTTCCTCCTCTTCCTCCTCTTCCTCCTCCTCCTCCTCCTCCTCCTCCTCCTCCTCCTCCTCCTCCTCACGATCAGCAGGAGGAGGAGCAGAGTGTGTCCTCCATGGGTCCTCCTCCTCCTCCTCCTCCTCCTCCTCCTCCTCCTCCTCCTCCTCCTCCTCCTCCTCCTCCCCCTCCTCCCCCTCCCCCCCAAGGCGGCGCTCGGCGTGGGCGACCCGCCCGCAGAGGCCGCGGGCGGCGCCGGCGCGGCCGCCGCCTCGTCCCGGGGGTCCGCGGGCCGCGGCGCCGCCCTCTGCGCGCCGACGCTGAGGAGCGATCGCCGAGGGCAGACGAGCCCTTGACCCGAATTCGACTAGACGTGAGAGTGACCTTTCGCGGGAGTGACCTTTGGTGCGGGCACTGATGGGTCCCCAGATGGCTGAGAACGAAGCAGCGGCAGCTGCTTGCGCGCCCAGGTTTGGTCCTCCCCCAGCGGACCCCCCAAAGCCGCGCACCAAAGGTCACTCTTACCCAGGGCCACTCTTGCGTATAGCCGAAACGAGCCCTTGACCCTAATATTCTGATGTTTCTGGTGTTTTTGGCTCTTCGAAGTTTTCCTCCAAAATCTGCCCGTAGGAGGGCATGCCCGACCTATAACCCCAGACTGTCTCACGCTCTGATGTTCCGCTCAGGACAAAAGAACCCTCGACCCTACAGTGCCGTTTTTAATACATGCTCCGCGTGCGGATCATGCATTAAAACAAGCACGGACTCAGTATCAAAAACAACGATGAGTTCATGCATAGATTCAGTCATGCATTGATCATGTATTACACATCCTATAGTTAAAACAATCCCATGTATTAAAAATTGCCCTGTAATAATCTGGGCCTCTCAGATGGGGTCCGAGTAGATGGGGTCGGGGGATCGCGCCGCATTGCCGATGCATGGCCGATGCGGGTCGATGTGTATACCGATTTGCTGCA